TTATGACACAGCTGTCCCACTACGGGGTATACACCCAAAGCGAATGAAATCAATATATCAAAGACACCCAACACTCCCACATTCATCACAATGCTATTCACAACAGCCAAGAAATGGAATCAACCTAAATGCTCATCAATGGATGAATGGATGAAAAAAAAAAAAAAAACTGTGGTGTATTTACACAATGGAATACTATTTGGCTATAAAGAGAAATGAAATCCTATCATTTGCAGCAACATGGACGGAACTAGAAACCATCATGTTAAGTGAAGTAAGTCAGGCACAGAAAGACATACACTATATGATATCACCCATATGTGGAATTAAAAAAAAAAGTGGTTCTTTTAGAAGTAGAGAGTAGAATAATGGTTACCAGAGGCCAGCAGGGGTTCGGGGTGGGGGGTGGTGGAAGGAGAAGGAGTGGGTTAGTGGATACAAAACTATGCTATCTGCGCTACGTGAATCATTGTGCAGTGTATGCATGTATTGAAACAGCATACTTTACCCCACAAATATCAAATATATACAAATAAATGTTTAAATAAAAAACAAAATAAATTTTGTAAAAAAGAGACGGCTCCTAACCTAAGCCAGACCAGTAAAAGTGGACCTAGGGGTCTTGGCTCAAGACATGAGAATAGAGACATTCTCTTCTCTAGTGGACAGAGACAATGATCCACATTGCTTCTGGAAGCTGTCCTACCGAGAGAGTAACTAGTCCTAGAATGAAGCTCTCAAATAGGAGAGAGGGCAGAAATTTAGAAAGAAACATGGTTTATGGTGATACTTAAGGACAATCAGATCAAGTTTTGTCTGAAACTATTTCTACTTCCTGAAGCTTCAGTTATGTAGGCTGACAAGTTCCCTTTATCATTTAGGTTGGATTGAGTCAGTTTTTCTGGTACTGTGACTCAAAACATCCCTAACTAATAAAGACTGCAATGTCATAAGTAATAGACCCAAAAAAGTGGAATTAGCTGAGGGCAGGAGATAAGGTTAAGGTCAATGAGGACACCTCCAGTTAGCAAAATAGCCAGTTACCTGCTGGTCTGTTATGTATTCTAAGGCCATCTACCTACCAAGGTTTCATCAAAAAGGAAAATTCAGAGTGTTGGAAACTGACTACTTCTTGCATCAATCAGGAAGGCCCATTAAGAAAGAGATGAACTTACTCTGAAATTGACTCATCTGATAGCATAGAAGGAAAAAAACCAAAAAAACTCCACCAGCTTTCTTAAGAGAGATTCTTTCTGCTTGCTGTCTGCAAACCAAGCTGATTGAGAATGCCGTAATCCAGAGCTTGCAGGATTAGGAAAGCCGAGTTTTCCACTCCCTGCTAATGTTAATATAAGCAAAAATGAGAAGGCAAGAGACTAGGAAGGACATAAAAGTTGGGTCTAGAAGCAGCCTCATCCACTTCCTTCTCAGATCTCTCCTTTTAAATATTCATGTTGTTGATAAAACGAATGTATTAGACAGGGTTATAGGTATCGATGTAAATATAGATATTTATTATGGGAATTGGCTCACACAATTATGGAGGCCAAGATGTCCCATGATCTGCCACCTGCAAGTTACAGAACCAGGAAAGCTGGTGCTGTGACTCAGTCCATAGTCTGAGCCCAAGGCCTGGCAACAAGAAAAGTTGACTGTGTAAGTCTTGATTCAAGTCCAAAGCCTACGAAGGAGAACTGGAGTGGGAGGTGATTGTGCAGGTCCCTGTGTGAGTCTGAAGACCTGAGAACCAGGAGCACCAATGTCCAAGGACAGGAGAAGATGGATGCCCCAGCTCAAACAGAGAGAGTGGATTCACCCTTCCTCCTCCTTTTTGTTCTATTTGAGTCCTCAGTGGATTGGGTGATGCCCACACACATTGCTAAGGGTGGATCTTCTTTACTCCGTCTACTAAGTCAAATGCTAATTTCTTCCAGAAACATCTCACAGACACACCCAGAAACAATGTTTTACCAGCTTTGTGGGCATCCTTCAGCCCAGTCAAGTTGACACATAAAATTAACCATCCCAATGAACAACTGTGCTCTTTGTGAAGTGCAGCTGGGATGCATAAGAGTCAGGGAACTAATTATGGTGGAGAAAGAAGGCAATGAAATGGGGGTGGGGGGGTCCAGGAAGTGATGACTAGAGCTCCCAGCCCTGTGCTGGGAGAGATGTTCCAAAACCCAGTTCTAGAACTAGCATTGTATCTGACAGATTAAACATCCAATGGCATTAACCAAAAACATCTAGATCAGAAGCCTTCAAAAATTGGAAAGGAGTTGCATTGCCTCTGAAACCCCAAAGGTGGCCAAAACCAGCCTACAACTGCACCCCAGCAGTGGTTCTCAAACTTTACTGTGTATTAAAGCACCTGGGGAGTTTTAAAATTACTGATGCCAGGGGCCGAGCCTGTGGCGCACTCGTGAGAGAGCGGCGCTGGAAGCGCTGCTGTGCTCCCGCCGCGGGTTCGGATCCTATATAGGGATGACTGGTGCGCTCACAGCGCTCACTGGCTGAGCGCGGTGCGGCCGGTCTCAAAAAGGACAAAAAAAAAAAAAAAAAAAAAAAAAAAAA